AATTGGAGCCAGCAGACAACAGTATCATCATGCTGAAGTTCATACCATCTCTGTGTTTTTATGATACAAATTGAAATACCCAGAATTTGCTCTTATAGGAGAAAAAAAACCAAACCCAGCAATAACAACAACAAAAGCCAACAAAACCTCTTGTTCCTTCTGCACCTCTTCTCAAGTTCTGATACTCCAGCCCTATTTTGGAGGATGGTAGCTAGTCCAGGTGAAACCAATGTAAGCAGCACATTTTTTCAGGGTGCAATTCAGTTTGTACATGAATAAAATGGTCAAGAAGTGTCTGCATTCAGTCTTGACAGAACATCTTCTGGGGTAGCACAGCTGGTCAGGAGCAATCTCTGTCTTAGGAGAATAGTACTAATCAGTTATTAATCCAAGGCATCATTATGATATAAATATGCTGAGTCCTAAATACAGTGGTGCAAAATACTTTATGATTATTAATGTTAGGGGCTCTTAAAGCTATCGCTGTTTATTATTTTTGACTACCAGGTCTTGTCACTTTTCACCTTTTACTGAAATATAGGTAAGTAATTCTGCAAAGGTGCTGCTCCTACACCAAAATTCACATGACTTCTTTCTGAGTAGTAAGCTGAGGAATACCACATTTCCCAACTAGTGTAGGCTATTGCATACCTGAATGCAGGTTTGTTCACATAAATTCACTAAAAGATGAGAGAAAACATTAAATTAATCTGAGGGCTGAGTATAAGCTGTACGGTGCACCCCAAACTTGTCTCTAGACTTCAGTGAATCTGGCACAGGGAACTGAGTAATCTGTATTTGTGGATGTTTTGAATATCCACGTGAATGTTTTCGTGAGAGATATAGCAAGGTAAAAATCAACTTTAACAAATATTTGTTTGCCTAACCCAGTAAATGCTATATTGAGGCTGACTACCTAGTAACACTCTCACGTGGAAAGGTAATGAAGTTTGAATCAGAATAAGATGATGCTGTCTGGAATTTGATAACTGGCATTTGTTGCCTGTCTTACTATTAGCTTTCAGCCTCTTTCCCCAGATGTGCTCCAGGGATGTGTAACTGTTAATAATCCCCCTGTGCCTCTCTGTTCCTTGCGCATGCATACCTAACCAGTAGAGCAGGACAGATGTA